GGAATCTCTGGAGATGATGGTGCAAAGAAGGATTTTACATCAAATCAAGAACATTGTGAACAACCCTGACCATCCTCTTCATCAGACTGTCATAGAAAGACAAAGTGTCTTCAGTCAGAGGCTTCTTCAATTTTGTTGTAAAACAGACCAGAAGATCTTTCCTGCCCACAGCCATCAGCGTCTACAACTCTTTAGTTAAATGAGTTACAGCAAAACCTAATTTCCCTCTGGGATCAATAAAGTATTTTTGAATTGAATTGAATTGAATGTACCATGCAACCACTGAACATCATAAAAGGAACACACAGACCACTTGTTTCAACAGAGACCAAAACAATGCACCACTTTTCAACCCCTACAGACCTCTTAAACCACTATTTACATGTCGGGACTACCTTAACTAAAGATTTATTATAACCTATCCTTGAACATTTCTGCATCARAAAGTACTGAACTGTCTTTATGACCTCCACGGGCCAACTGCCCTGCAGTTCTCTGCTAACCTTTGTTCCCCCGTTCACCCAACACACAAACTGGGTTTCTCAAACCCCACATCACATCTGCTGATCCTTATCAGTGAAAAGAACACTGGTACGAGATGATACAGAGTACATTTTTGTTTCACCTAAATCTTAAACTCAGAACTTTGTGGCGGCATCCCAACCCAAAGATGGCACTAACTGTGTGTTCCTGAGAATTTACATCCAAGACCTGTTTTAACTCCCCAAGGGTCATTAAAATACCTTCCTTTCCAGAAGAGAAGCAAACGACCCCAGCCATGGCTGAATTAATAAAAATTGAACATTTTGCATTGTCTGTAAAAAGAGAGCAAAGAAACTTTGTTCGGTTGTATTAAAATGTCTGTTTTATTTCTGCTTTACCTACAAAGATTAATCATGTTTATCTTTCTGAAGGATCCAAGAAGTCTGCCTGACGTACACTAGATATTTCTTTAATGTATAAACATTGACACCTACAAAATTCTTTTTAAAATGCATTCTGTGTGTTTATCAGTTTTCTTGTTAAAGAAGTGTGTTTATTTCGGGATTTAACAGCTATTTCCTTTTATTTAAGTAATGTTTTCTCGTTTACATGTATCTTAGCAAATGTAGGTAGGAACTTTAGGACTTTAATCTTAAGGATTAGATATGTAACAATTTTCTTTTAGGATAATTGTTATATTATCTACTGGTTAAATAAGTTAAACAGCTAAACTAAAGTTGGTCTGGTCTTGAAATTTTATTGAACTTTTAGTTAATATAATTTTACTAAATAAAAGTGAGTGGTGCCTCTGAGGTTGATATTAAAGTTAAAACTTTAAGAATTCATAATTTATCATGTTCTATATGTACTCAGTCCTTATCTGTGATCTGTGATTACCACAACAAAAATATATAAATAAAAGTCCTATTATTATAAGGGCCCGAGCGCTGTTAAACAGTGAAAGCCCTATTGTTTTTCACCCGATTTTTATTTTAATTTTTCTACCAACCAGAGGCTTTTTTCACCATGTTCTACTGGGCTGAGGATTATGAAACTTGGCAGTTACATAAAACTAGCGTATAGGGAGACACAAAGATTCAGATGTGGGTGGGGCAAATCGGGTCTCTAGAGCCCTCTAAACATAAGCCTCTTA